CTTGAAATTCTGCATCTCCATACTTTGAAACTTTCCTGTTTCTATCGCAATTTTCTCATCTGGTGGCGCGTCGTGGCGCCTGGCATAGCGGCGTAGCTCTCTGGTAGGGCGGCGTTGCTTCTTGGTAGAGCGGTCTGGCTCCTAAAAAATCGTTATTGCTCCCTGGTAGAGCGGCGTTCTCCTAATTACTTGGCGTTGCTCCCTGGTAGAGCGGCATTCTCCTATAAAATTGGCGTTGCTGCCTTGCAAAGCGGTGTTGCTCCCTGGCAAAGCGGCGTTGCTTCCTGGCAAATCGGCGTTGCTTCCTGGCAAATCGGCGTTGCTTCCTGGCAAAGCGGCGTTGCTTCCTGGCAAAGCGGCGTTGCTTCTTGGTAGAGCGGAATGGCTCCTAATATACGGCATTGCTCCTTGATAGAGCGGCGTTCTCCTAATGTATGGCGTTGCTCCCTGACAGAGAGGCTTCTTCTAATATACGGCGTTGCTCCCTGATAGAGAGGCTTCTTCTAATATACGGCGTTGCTCCCTGATAGAGAGGCTTCTTCTAATATACGGCATTGCTCCCTGATAGAGCGGTCTGAATCCTATTTTTCCCTCGTGTACATCTTGTCCTGGTATCAAAGGGCGTTGTTTAGGGCTGGTCGGAAACTACGTCGATCCATGTGACCCCAAACTCCCTCCAATCTATTTACCTGAATTTTTCACCATCACAGTCTAGGGAAAAGGTCCTTAGAGCTTATCCCTTTACACCGTGACGTGACAACCTCTCCTCTAGTTTTTGTCCTGTCGTGGACACTGCTTGGGGGTTGATCGGCATTGTACCTCGATCGAATGTCCCCAAACTTTCTTCTTTTCTTCCTGTTTTTCGCCTGGAGCTCCTGGAATTCCTCGTCGCATATCTGTAATACAATATTCACATATTACTATATAATCACTTTACATATTAATTTTTGCTCTGCCTCTTTTGGGCAGTCCAAACCTCTTTAAATCATCTTAAGATGTGCTCATTCGCACATCTCGCACTTGTACGCCTTTTCTTTCTTTCTCGTTCATGTAGAACACGTTCTCTTTCTCCTCAAACTCTATTGCTGATGGCCTGGTAAACATCTTTAATCTAAAACACTGTATATCTATATTATTATTTTTAATTCACAAAATTTAAACCTTAAAATCCCATATACTTCTGAAAAAAAAATTATTTAAAAATGCCAATTTTTCATTAACGCTGTACGTCGCTGAACTAACTTTACCTATATAACTGACCTACGACAACTGATAGCAATGCACATTGAAATAAATACTTTGCGAAAATGTAATATCATATTTATAGTTCATTATAGTTCAATGTCAATTTTTTATGTAAACAGTGACAATATTTACCTTTAAATTCTTTATCATCTAAACTAGATATATTTATACATCATCAACCTATTTAAATATTTTCCCTTCGCAATTCTTATTTAACATCATAGTTATTTTAAAATAAATTAAAATTCTCCTTTTGAATAATTTTCTCTTTATTGAAATGATGACTTTTTGTACACAAAGAAATATAATATTGTAAATAAAATTGTATACTATTTTCGACTTGACCCTAATGTTTATTGTTACAATTATTTTCAATGTCAATGTTTTGTTTAAACAACTACTTAGTTAAAACATTATATTAAATTATCATCTATTTATTTATCTTTGTTTTTTATCAATTCAGGTTCGCTAATTTATTTAATAAAATGAAATTTGCATTTATCACTTGATTTCTGTATCTACTCAATTTAGTTTATTAAAAGGCACTTGTCCTCTCTAAAAAAATTACAAAATTTAAAAAAAATGTCTGTAAAAAATGATATATCTCCTTATCCTTATCTTTAATAACAAATTTTCCCTTTTCCTTCCAACCAGTCAAATACTATCAAAAAACACCGCTTGTCACCAAATGTAACAACCAGTTAGCCTAATGACCAATTGCAACTACTGATAGGTCTTTAGCTACTGTTACTATACTATTAAGGGATAAAGGCAGCGCCTGTCACCAGCCAAAGGGTCCTGGAGTCCTTAAGGAACATCCATTCGCCAGTGGCAAAATAAAATAATAAAAGAAAATAATAAAATTACAAAAAAAACATCCCTTAATAGCATATGTCGAGCGGTTCTTGGCAACTAGTTTTAGACTCTTTTAGTCCTAAGGGAATAGAAACGCCGAGGCTTCTCAAATGCTCGGAGTATTTTGCTGGTTTGGGAAAGGAGGAGAGATTAATAATAAGTATTAAAACATTAACAAATGTATATTAACAATAAATAAAAAACTTGACAAATAGTCTTCAGAAAAAATGAATAAAATTCCATTTAGAGAATAATGCACTATAACTAATAGTAATAAAGATAAGCATAAAATATAATTCGGGACGAAAATGTAAAATTGGCATTTATATGTAAATCAATTAATCAATTATTATTAAACAAAATTAAGTTAAAATATTTACCCATAATTCACATCGTACACAAAAAACTTTACACATTACTTTACAATAAAAAACCAGGGTTTCGCCCGAGGGGCGAAAGTTCTGGACCTTAGTCCGAACCCGACTGAGCGTTTCCCCCAAGTGATCCTTTCTATATAAACCAAAATTTATGTGACTGTTGATTGTATTTTACAATGTCACGTTCAATGTAAATTAATAAAATGAAGGTTTGTTTCATTGTCATAAGTGTCTTTTTAATTATTTAAGTTAAACATTAAATACTTGTTTAGAATTTTTGGTAAATTCTTTAGATTTTTTCAATTAATAATAATGCCAATTATTACAGTATCCTGTATTGTGAAACATTGCTGAAAAATACCTTATGGCTTTTTCATCATCATACCTAGTCTGAAAAGGTTTAAGTGTGGTTACAAACATTTTGACAAAACAAAGGAACAATTTCAAAATCAACGAACGTGAAGATTTAAGGCTGCAACTCACCAATATTGAACCAGATTTAGCTTAGTAGAAAGTCACCAGGTTTATCCATCACTGAATTTTTTATTTTTTATCTTTACTTTGCGATTTTACTCGAAATCTTTTTTTTTTAAATAATTACCTAGTTAAGTATTTTTACGTAATTTGTATTAATAATTATTAATTACACTTGATATTTACTGAATTTTATGTTTATTGATTTTGTTAAATTTTGATGAGACAATGATGTTACTCACTTAATCAACCGGAAAGTTTTTAAATTGTATCAATGGAAAAAAAACTAGAGATAGGATTTTTAAGGTAATTTGGCTATGGGGGTCTGAGGTATCAGTTCATTTTAAAAAGGATTCTGTTACCCAAAATTGCCAGAATGGACCTTAGCGATTTCCCATGTTAATTTACATAAGAGGTGCGCTTGAACTGTTGCTGCTCCTTTACTAATCCCCGACGTAAACTATCACCCTAAAATTTCATAATTATACATTAATTTGTTGCAAAGAAAAACCGTGTTGCCAGACTTTTTTGCTACTCTATAGATTCGGAAATCAGTGGATTTTACTTTTGATTTACAAATGCCATTTTTATACACAGATGCTGCATTTGGCATTACTTCTCGGATAAATCTGAGAAGTTATCGATTTTTGGACATCTAAAATGTTATTCAGGTGTTAACCCTAACATTAAATATTATTTATTCAATTATTTATTATAGTTTTCTTTTTATTTTAATAGAGAGATATTGCAAATTTCTATAACGTCAGCCACTATTAATGACAACGTAATTAGAGGCAAATAAACTCTATGCTGAAATTTTGACATTAGAGTGATTGTCCTTATACATATTTCTAACCACATTTTAAAAATTTTAAAAACAGTTCATCTTCATCTCCTAGCTCGTGAGCCAACCTACAGATTTAATGTAGTTGACAACGTCGCCAAGAGGTGCTTCTCTTATATCGGCCAGTGTTAGCCGATACTCGCCGAACACAAATATTCTAATAAATGAGAGCGTCGGGCAATCGTAACGTATATGCTCGATGGTCTCATCTTCTTGTTCGCACCCTCTGCAGAGTGCGGATTCTGACAGCCCCATGATATGGAGATGTTTCCGTACTTGGCAATGACCAGTCAGAATGCCTGTGACTAGGCGCAGATTCTGTCTAGTCATAGTCAAGTATTTGTTTGCTACAGTGTTGTCAGGATAACTTAAGAGCTCCCTGGCAACTCTGCAGTTTCTTGTTTCATCCCATCTTTCCTTGAATTTCACAAGGGAATGTTCTTTGATTAGGTCTGTCACTACCGATTTTGTCAGGCTAATAGAAGGGCCAGGTCCAAAAAGTATTTGGTTGGCTGCTTTCTTGGCAAGTGAATCAGCAAGACGGTTACCTTTCGATGTAGCGTGACCTTTGATCCATCTTAAGGTGACCACATTGTTGATGGATACTTCGGCCAAAGCTTCGTGACATTCTAGTACTAACCCTGAGTAAATTCGTGGTCTGTTCAGGGTGAGTAGTGCTTGTCTGCTATCTGTATAGATGAGCTTGTTCCTTCCAGTGATATTGTTTCTGGTTATTTCTTTTGCTGCTATGAGAATACCCGTTAGCTCTGTTTGGACTACACTTGCACTATTGCCCACTCTTCACATGTATCGTTTCTCATTTCAAATCCAGAAGTATGTTCTCTAGAGAACAATATCTAGCTTCAGCAAACGCAAATACAAAAGTAACAAAAGTATCCGAGGTATAATGACAAACGGCTAAGAAGTAAAAGATATATCCGAGAGGTAATACCAAACGCAATATGGGATATCCTGTCTTTACCACTGAATAGTTTGTAAACTCTAGCAAAAGAATATTGAAAGTAATTATCTGCGAGAATAGTCGTGCAGAAAAGCGAATAGTTCCTACATAAACACTCTTGGATACTATATTACTGTATTTTTTACTTAGGTACCCTATAAATTTTCATACTTCTTCATCTTTCGCTATTAGTATAAAATTTAATTGAGAAATCTGAAAATAATTTTTTTTTCTGTTCCAATAGGAATCCTAACATCAATCAACAAAAGTCTTAGTTTAAAGAGGGGCGAGAAAAACGGAGACAAAGGTGAATTCGACGATTTGATCTCAGCTCTGAGAACGGGTGACGTTTATGGAGAAGACATCGCGAAATTCAAGAGATCGAGAAAGAGTAGAGTAGGAACTGGCAGTTCTCCTCCACGTCGGAATTCTTCGACAAGAGAAGATAGCAGGGAGAGGGTAGTTGCGAATGGACGAAGACAGTGAGAATTTTTAGTTTGTACAAAAGAAACGTCTCAATAAATTCATAGTTTATTTTATAATATTTGGTCTGTAAATTGTTTTTATTCGTTGTAAATATAATTTTACTAATAAGAATGTTATTTTTATATTTTTTATGGAATCTGAAATTCTTCAGGTACGATTGTTTTTTAAAATTCAGAGATTCTTAATTTTCTTAGGTGAGAGATTCTCAATTTTCTTCGAGGCTTAATGTTTCAAATTAATTTGACAACATAAATTGCTTATTTACAGACAATATTCAAAGTAAAACAATTTACTCTTTATTTTGAAGATAAAGACACCTGCAAATTGTTTTTAATCATTGCTTTTTGGATTTATCAAGGGTATTTTTGCATTATAGAATCAGTTTTGTTTATCTGGAAATAGGGCTTTCCATTTAGTAAGGACACAGTACAGTAAAAAATTCTACTATCTAGAAAAAACAACAGTTATTTTTTAATTAGTAAGTAAAATCTGTAGAACTTTAAAACAGTTGCCAATACAGAAAAATATGATATACCTAAATTGGAATATAGGAACTAGTATATTGTGCAACGAGTGCAGAAAGTAATCTATTCTACACAGTATTGTGTTTACACATTTTAATCTTATATTCAGTAGTCAATAGAAGTTGTCAGCTAATATTTCAACATTTTCCAATGAAAAGTAAAAGGAATTCATGTTACTATTACATAAACTGAAACTGCGTAATTAACATGCGACATTCTAGAGCCTATAATAAAGCTATTGTAAAAAATTCACATTTAATGCAGTATACATATTTTTCGTCCTAAATTTTATTTAGTTATTGAGAAAACGGATAACTGTATGACAAAATGCCATAAGGAATAATAGTGTAAGTAATATTTTCTAACTAGGTATGCCTTAAAGATATACTGTATTTTCTGAATCACCCTCTTTACTGCTTTGTAAGTTATTTGTCAGGTTAGACGATTCAATAATCAACGCCTATGTTCAACTTTTAAAAATATTGTTTAAATTAGTTATATAGGTGATCAGGAGCGGCTCGTGGCCAAAATTTTGGGGGTTCCCAGTAGCATAATATAGATCTCGGTACAGATGTAGGTAAAAAACTGTCAGTATTTTAGAGAGTTATATTGTAAACTTTCTAAAACACTGAAAGTTTTTTCATATATCTGTACTATTCTGTCACTGTGAACTCCCAAAATTTTTCTCACGAGCCGCCACTGTAGGTGATTCCAGTGAAATGGTAAAAAATTATGTTTGTAAAATCTAATATATTAAATACAGAAATTATTTATTGATGCCATCATGCTCAAGGGATGATATATGTTTGATTCCCACTTGCGGTTGAGATCGTTATTAGGTTTTATGGGTTTTATTCTAAGAAATAAAAAAGGCATGTCCATATTTTGTCTTATGGCTCTAGCATTTCTACCGAATACTGTAGCGTGGATTTTATTTTCTCTTCTTTTTTACGTCTTTGGTAATGCTGTCTTTGTTCTATTTTGGCTTTTTCAGATAGTTCAGGGTTTTCCTTTATTTTTTTTCGCCTTTTTCGCTCACAGTCTTGTTTCTGTTTGCAACCTTTTTCTGTGGTTTGATAATTAGCCATTTTGTTCTGTCAAAATAATAAAATAACAGTTTTTTTAAACGCTAACAATAATTTTAGTCATCCCATGGATACCTATCATCACTATGGACAGTCATGGTCCATGGTAATGATGTCCATGGTGATAATAAGAAATAGTATTTTAGCAATTTTCAAGGTTGTCCCAATATTATATTCGTTAGATATAATTACTAAAAAACTACTTGACGAAAGATGCACGGTGTTGATACATTAAAAAAATACGTATCTCTTTTACCACGTTTATCACTCAACTACTTCAAGCAAATCAAATAACAAATGTACGCTTCAATGCTGATGGAAAACAGATATAAAGAAAACTTCGCCTAATATAAAATTCCTCCGGTGGTGCTCCCTAACGGATTTAAAATGAAAAATCGGACGGTCCACGGCGATGACATTATTTCATGTCATGGTAACAAAGTAAAAATGAGTATTTCGTAAATTATGATTTTAATTTGAAATGTTTGTATGCAGGAATTGTTTTACATGTACTCTATGAAATGCTAATATTATTTTATCTCAGATCGTATTATTTGTTTGCGTATTTTTTCCCAATTAAGTGACCTTATGGAGATGATAATTAGAGTTAGAACTATTGGTTTGGGGGAAAATATTCTATGTGCATTGAAAGATGGGTTTCTTTTGATATAATATTTTGATTTTAAGCTTTTCACTGATTACAGGGAATTTTTCGCTGGAACTACCCTCATATTATAGTTATCAATTTTACTTTTTAATTAATGAGAATATTTTACTGTACATTTTATGTTTCACTTTCAAAATCTGCCTTACAAAAACAATTGTACCTGTAGTGTTTTGAAAAAAGATGATTTGCCTCAAATTTTGATAAAACTTATATTTACCATTTTCCTAGCAAACCAATGCTTAACAATTTTGTGATGAATCAACAATAGTTTGTAGATTTTTTAATGATTAGTATCGCTTAGTTTTAATCTAAATGTAACATATTAATAATAATTATATACATAATATTTATTGGATTTTTTTAATAAAAAGATGATAAAACATTCCAAAAATAATAGAGATGTTTTGCAGTTGAAGTCGTTTAAAACATTTTAATTTAAATATATTTTCTTAACGACTGATTAATCCGATTGTTTGTTAAACATTGAATAACGTAATATGAAAAAACAAAAATTTTGGAATGTAGAAGTACTTAAAAAATAAGGAGTCCCAAAAATTTAGTTTGTTTAAAATCAATTTTGTAAATCTATAAATTTTACATTTCCTATGTTATTTTTGTTAATAACAAATGCATTTTTGATTTCGGACACAATATATGATATAGATATGTGTTGTAAAAGGTAGTTGATTAGTTTAAATGTTTATACTAATAAAGATCTAGCAAAACGATTGTGCTATGCATTGAAATTGAACTGATTTACACAATTTAATGTTGAAATATATAATTGTTAATTTATATATTTGTTTTTTTTTCTGTATATCTAGAGTTGCCTCGCACTTTATAATAATAAAGCGATTATAATTTTTACTTCAGCCTTAGTTATTTTATAATATAATAATACTCACTATAACTCACACGCTTACGAATAAACTTCTCAGGCGCTGAAGAGATTGTGAGTGTAGGGACACCTATTATTTTCCGTAAGATGAGGAAAACACTAAAAAATCCCACGTATTATCATCAAAACTCACTTAAATTGTATTTATTCCTAATTCGGCACCCATCGAATCCGAAAACCAACCATGCAAATTAATTAAAAATAAACATAGTTTCCTATAGGAGCCAAACCAGAGTCATTTTCCACTAAAGGCAAGTAATTCAATATACGACTGACATGTATATAATTGAAAACTCCCTATTAGAAAGCACGATTAATAGACTAGACAATCCCTTTGGACTTTAAAAAGTTTTGGTTTTAATTTTGTTAGAATCTTATTACTAAAAAACTGAAATAAAAGACACCCAAATTAACTACCAAAAATAACTATATTAACCCTCGAACAAAATATATCACAATCTAATCTACAATACTAGATATTCGTCTTTTTATATACCGGTATTATTCATAGGGCACTTATGTAAGTTCATGAGCTGTCGGCTATGAGAAATACGTTGTATAGGATGTCGCTGCATACAGGATGTCTCTATTAGTCGGCCACTGCTACCATTTCCTCGTCTCGAGGAAACTTCCTTTCTTCGGCTAACTTGAACGAGCAAATCTATAAAGAAAAAATAGAATTTATATTATATGGATATTCTAGTAGTTAGTACAGGCTGTAGATGTAACGTTTCATATTTTCAGCCACATACTGAATTCGTGAGCACGTTGCTTCTTAAGGGCACGTTGCTATATCGAGGCACTTTGCTTCTTACGTTACTATGTCCAAGCACGTTGCTGTGATAAAGCATTACGCTTCGTGAGAGCACGTTGCTTGTCAAAGCACTTTGCTTCATAAAAGCACATTGCTTCGTCGAAGCACTTTGCTTCAAAAAAAAGCACATTGTTTTGCCGAAGCACTTTGCTTCATAAAAGCACATTCCTTTATCAAAGCACTTTGCTTCATAAGAGCACGTTGCTTGGTCGAAGCACTTTGCTTCATAAAAGCACATTGCTTTATCAAAGCACTTTGCTTCGTAAGAGCACGTTGCTTGATCGAAGCACTTTGCTTCATAAAAGCACATTGCTTTGTCGAAGCACTTTGCTTCGTAAGAGCACGTTGCTTTGTCGAAGCACTTTGCTTCATAAAAGCACATTGCTTTGTCGAAGCACTTTGCTTCGTAAGAGCACGTTGCTTTGTCGAATCACTTTGCTTCGCAGCAGTAGTCTTTTAATCTTTACTGCTGAGTTCTTCAATACTGTCACTTCTAGGTCTAGAGCAATCTATGCTAATATGCCCCAACTGATTACAATTAAAACACTTTAGTTTTTGCTTGTAGTGGCTATCGGAACGAGTCTCATTTACAGTTGGGAATCTTTTATTTTCCCATCGCCCCTTTTTTATGAACTTTTTATTTGTAATATCACCTCTTTCTACCCTTGGACTTTCCTCAGGTACAAGTGATGATAAATATTCGCCATAAAGAGTCTCTGTGTCGGCGTATCTGCCAGCTTTTGCCCCGTTCTTATCTATATTACAAGCTCTAAGTAGCTGCATCTTGGCAAAATAATATTCCGCCCAAGTTTCAGACGGTTTTTTTACTCTGGCAATCATTTTGCGTAGCGTAGATGGAAAATCTTGATGATCTGGAAAGGCTTTCTCGATCAATTGTCTCCATTCTATCCATGAATGCTCATAATTGTCTAAACTATTGTACCAGGATTTTGCCAAGCCAGATAATCTAGACTGCATATGATAAATTTTTACTTGATCATTCCACTCATTTATTCTACCAATCTGCTCAATTTTGTCTAGCCATTTTTTTGCAGACGCATAAGAAAGGCTAGGAGAAAATTCAGGAATACAGTCAGCCCTTATAATTAATGAATGAGAGGAATTATCGGCAGTTTTATTTCTTTTTAAAAAATCAGACAACATACCTTCCATCTCTAATTCTCGTGTTTTGCTTCTGCACTATTTCGCATGAATCATTATCGCCGTTACGCGAGGGGGGCGTACAAGATACGTTATCTTGTGACGAAGAACGTTTCTTCGATTTCCTCCTCGAACTGCTACTTTTCCGACGATACCGCCCGTAATCATTATCGGATTCTGATTCAGATGAGGTTTCCCGTCTTTTTGATTTGCGTCCCATAGTCACAGTAGAAAACACAAAACTTTTAATCTAGACACTAAGCTTATTATTATTATTTTATTTACACTAGTCTCTATTTATTACTCGTATTAAATCACCGGTCACTTCGAATTGAGCGTTAATATCTCACCGCTGCACTGTTAGAATCTTATTACTAAAAAACTGAAATAAAAGACACCCAAATTAACTACCAAAAATAACTATATTAACCCTCGAACAAAATATATCACAATCTAATCTACAATACTAGAAATTCGTCTTTTTATGTACCGGTATTATTCATAGGGCACTTATGTAAGTTCATGAGCTGTCGGCTATGAGAAATACGTTGTATAGGATGTCGCTGCATACAGGATGTCTCTATTAATTTTAAATTAATTTACTGGATTAACAATATAAAACCCAGTGGCCATGTACATCTCGGTCGTCTTATGGACAAGGGTACTCCAGCGGATGGTAAGAGTATTGCTGTCTAGACTGCAGTGGCTCTTTGGTTTGTTCCATGTCTGGAATAATAACAAGTTAAAACAACTTATGTACTTACAAAACTACTCTTATGGAGCTGTATATAGAACCTCCGTGCATCCGTTCTATCTCTTTAAATCCAACACATTTCATTAATGACAACGGCGCTTCATTTGATAGATATGAGTGAAATAATATGTTCCAACAGCTGTATAGAACCATTCTGAATTTGTATGTGACGTTGTACCAAATTAAGTTTCATCTTATGGATCAGTATTAAAAGCTGCCATTCGCACACACACAACAACCACAAAATAACTCTTCCCAATAACAAACTGGGGACCTAGTGTAGAACAGAATACCTACAAGTGTGTACTTTACTGGAAACGTCGCCAGCGACTTTGCCAAACGTATCGCGATGTACAGTCCGTTTTGGCTACCCTTCCAAATTGATCCCGTCGCCAAGCGCTCGCCAAATCAGGTATCTATCATTAATACATATATTTGCTTAGCGACGTTGCTGACGATGTCGCCGTGCATCCCAGTGAGATGAAGCCCTTAGTGGCGGCCACTGATTGTTCGTTTGGACGAGCTAGCTGCTGAGTAGCGCGACTCCATGATAGGCTCATGTTGGAAGGTAATTTAAATTTGGACTCCTAACGTTTCTCGTTTTTACGTAGAAATCATTTTGATCGCACCCAATTATAGCTGAACGTTTATAATTTAGCCAATGACATTTCTAGACTGTTCTCTCTTATTCTTTTATTCGTACTTTTACTTATGAAAACCGTTGCACACTGTAGGGTGATGGGTGACATTGCAATTCTTCTTTTATTCGTACGTTTCCTATAACAGCTGCAGGGTGCAGGATAACAATATGTTAAATTTATGAAGACTGTCTTCATAGTTAAATTGTATGAGCTTTGGATCAGTGGCGATTTTTCCATTGGTTCATTTGTATAGTGAACACCCAGTTACATTTCATAAAAACACATTATTTTAAAATAAATAACATAAAAATATTAATTCAATTTTAATAATTTTATTGTTTTCATACGTGTTAATATCTATTTTTGGGTACGCCACTGCGCTCTAACGCGTTTCCGTGGCGCTCTTTTATAAGTGAGCCCGAGGAGTGAGAAATGTTCTAGAAACTCTTTAGCTAAAAAGAGATGGCACACGTCAGTAGATCCGTGAAACGTACTGAAACAAACATAAAATCACTTAAATCACCTTTTGCGAAACGCACACAGAGACGCCACAAAGTAGGGCAGGGTATACGAACTTTCCAGTCATTGATATAAAATAAAAAGAAGATGCCATGACGATACTAAAAGTGTCCGCACCGTTTT